AAAAAAAAAAAAAGAATGGAGACAGAACAGTGAATGTTAAAGTGATCCTGTAAGGCCTGGCGTGACCTTGTTTTGGGGATGGGGGAGGAGGTGGCCGTGGCCCTCGGAGCATAAGCCCCAAAATGCTTGCAGGGACCATGGCCTCCTCTGATGCTAAAGGTGCTCTCTCGGGACTTTGCACCTACCCCCTTCTCTTCATCACTCTCTCTCTCCTCCTCCTCTTCCTTTTCTTCCCACCAACATTTTGCAAACGCCCGAGAGCTGGGGTTGCAGGGACTCAGCACACAGCCCCTCCCACACGAAGCTCAGAATCCATGGGGCTGAGACATGCGTGGGCTGGGTGCCACGTGCCTCAGCAGCATAGATGGTGTAGTGCAGGAGTGAGTGAGGCCACGAAGCCGGGAAGACTGAAGGGGGTTGCTGGAGAAGCAACAGCCAGGTACATTCAGACAGTAGGGATCAGGGTGTCAGAGCCAACGCGAGATGGGGGCAGACCTAAGGAGACGTCACCTCATGGAGTGGGGTGAATAGTGTCCCCCCAATATTCGTATCTACCCAGAACTTGAGAATGTGACTTTATTTGGAAACGCCACCTTTGCAGGTGGAATTAGTTAAGGATCCCAACATAAAACCATCTTGGGTTTAGGGTGGGTCCTCAGTCCAATGGCTTCTGTCTTTGCAAGAGAGAGAGAAGGGAGATTTGGACACACAGACATGAAGGACAGAAGAAGAGCTTGTGAAGACACGGCCAGCATTTGGAGAGACGTGGCCATAAGCCCAGCAGCACCAGGAGCCACCAGAAGCTGGAAGAAGCAGGAACGATGTCTCCCCAGAGCTTCAGGAGAGGCTCGGTGTGGCTGACACCTTAATTTCAGTCTTCTGGCCAGAAGTGTGAGATAATAAATTCATGTCGTTTTATGCCACAGGTTTTGTGGCAATTAGGAAGCTAACACAGCCGGCAGAAGGGGAGCTGACGGAGGGGACTGGCCGATCTCCAGTGGCAGCCGGGGTCCCCCCCAGACCACAGGGTGGCCTCAGACAGGCCCCTGCCCACAGAGTCTGCCGCCACCCCTGAAAAGCCCCGTTCACCGTCTCTCACGTCAAGAGGACTGAACAGGGCACAGAGGTGAGCAGCCTGGAAAACTAGAGAGAGAGGCTATCTGTCCGGTGAGTCCTTCTCAGGAGCAGACAGCCTGGGCTCCCAGCCCTGCCCCCTGGGGCCACCCACCAGGGTGACCCCTGCCTGTGCTCCCGCGCCCTTCATGCTGCGGGGTAAATCTGACACATGCACACGTTCCCTCTGTGCCGGCTCTTAGCCTGGAGGTGAATCAACGGTTCTCCAGCATTTATGGGGTGTCCCCTCTGTGGTCACGGGGGACACAAGAGCCAACAAGACGGATCCAGCTGAATGGAGCTTGAGCTCCAGGGAGGGAGACGGGCCAGGAAGCTCGTGAATAAATGACCCGTCACAAGTTGGGACGAGTGCTTTGAACATCTAGAAACCAAAAGTGGTCCTGCTGTTGGTGGGAGGTCACAGAAAGACTTCCAGAAGAGCTGACGTTAGGTTGACATCAAGAAAGCGTCAGTCATGGGCAACCTGGGAGCAAGCCCTCATTTTGCAGGTGAGGTGGCCGACTGTGTCCGAGAGAGAGCGGATCATTTGACCTATGACGCGGGTCCAGCCAAGGGAATGTGACGAAGGAGACAGGTGTCACCCCCAAGGTTCCATTCTCTCCGACTCCGTTTCCATCAGGCTGGAGTGAGGGATCCTCCCTCGCTGGCTCTGAGGATGGGCACTGTCATATGTGCGCGGGACCCAGGGCGGGAGTCGCGGGTACCTCCAGCGGCTGAGAGCCAGCGAGAAAACGGGAGCTCAGCCTGCAGCCGCAGGGACGCGTTCTGGTCTGTCCACGACCGTGGGAGCTTGGCGGAGGTCCAGGAACGAGCACAGCCCGTGGGTACCTAGTCTGCAGCTTTGTGGCACCCTGAGCAGACGGGCCAGCTCGGCCGTGCCGGGGGCCTGACCCACGGAAGCTGAGGGAATAAATGTGAACCACGTGAGCTGCTAAATTAGTGGCAATGGAAAACCGACACACTATGATCTGGGGCAACATGAGCCTCGCTCCCTCACCGGGAAAATGCAAA